GCCAGAGGCTCGCGCCGCTCCGCGTTACTGGCGCGAACCAGTTGCAGGCAGCTCGTCTGCGTGGTGGCTCGCCTATTGCTGCCCCGTCCCGCCCGCCGCGTCCGCCGCGCCCGCCGCGCCTGGCCGAGAGGCTACCTCACCAGGCGCACAGCCTGCCCTGCCCTCCCGACCCGTTCAGAAGCGATCTGAGACGCAGCCGCGCCGGATCCGCGCCACCTCGCAGGACGTACCGTGTGGCCCGTGCCACCGTCCGCCCCGTGTAGTGCGCCACCGCTGCCTGCGCCGCCAGCGCGAGAGCCGCCTCGGCTCGGGTCGAATGCTCGCCAGCCTGTCAGAGCTGCGCTGAACAGCGCCTCCCGCCGCCCTCCCTCTGCCGTCGTCTAAGGCGCCGTGTCACCGTCCCCCGGTGGGCTTGGACGTGGACGCACTCGCCCACGCCCACGAGGAAGCCCTGCTCGCCAACAAACTGGTGCTGTGTCCGAGGGAATGGTGCTGCACTTCGTCAGCGCCCTGGCCGTCGCCCAGGCCGCCCCGCTGGTCGAGCACGCTCACCTGCCTCGCCAGGATCACGTCATTAGCTGACGACCAGCTCCCTCGTCCCCACTCGGCCGCAAAAAGAAGAGGCTCTGGGGAGCGTGCCCGCGGAGGCCCCGTGCCTGGACGGAGGCTGTCCCGCGGCGAGGGACGCGCCCGGGGGTGGAGGCTGTGCCCCGGGCGTGCGGGGCGGGTCAGCGCGAGGCGCTACCGCCATGCTGCGGGCCTGACGTAGCTACGCTCGTGCTGAGCGTGAGCGAGCCCTGAGCCCGCGAGAGCGTGAGCCTAACGAGCCCAAAACGAGCGTCGCCGACAAGAGGATGCTGCTGTGGGTGCGACTCATGGTCGTCGGTCCGGGGGTGGCCCGGCTGGTGGTGGTGATGCTCAAGAGACCCCACACTGGCCCGGGGGCCGGGAGGGAAGCCCGCGGATGGGGGAGGCCCGCCGGGCCCGCCTGCCGCGGCCCGAGCCGCTTCTACTTCAAGCGCCGCTCCCTGGCCCCGCGTCTCAGGCTGGCCAGCCTGGGCCTGGGCGCCGTCCCTGACCTACCCCAGGGCCGCGGGGCTCCCGGTGGGAGTCTGGGAGGCCGGCACCTGGCCGTCCAGCGAGCCGCGATCCGGGCACTGGAGCTCTGCCCAGTGTAAGCAGGGAGCTGACCCACCTTCTTCTACCCCCTCTCGGACTCACACGCACACACTAACAAAGCGTCCCCTTGCATCATCCTCGCTAGGCCTACACCGACCCAATCCAACTCTCTGCCCGAACTCTCTCCTTACCATCTTCCCATCCACCTTTATGACATTAGTCTCTTCATCTGTACTGCACTGTACTGTACTCATTTGATTTTAAACTAGGGTCGTCAGATTGTTTACTCTTACTGCCACTACACTAGAATACATCACATGGCATTTTACCAGAGCCAATTTTTATTTTTCCTCATAAATCAATATCCCTAAATTTTAATTTTCAAATATTCTGACTTACGTCAGCATGATGTTAAAAACAATTCTTTTGCAGGGTCAACTGTGGACCGCCATTGAACACTCCTCCATTAAGCTCATCTGCTGTGCCAAAGGAAGAGCCCAGTCACACGTTGGGAGACAGCTCGCAAGGGCTTCCCCCTGGACTACACATTTCAACACCTGGTGGAATCGACCCATCTATCAATGTGCTCAGTACATCTGTAAGTCAACTAAGAAATATTAATTTTGAGTTTACATTTATTTTTGTTTCTTTCTCTTTGTGTTTGATACAGACTAATGACAATTATCTGTTATCTAGGCATTTTGTGAACCACTTATAAGCACTGCCACCGATCAACAGACATCTCAATGGTTGCAGAAACACAGATTTGGAGCTCACCTACGGATTTTTAACAGTTTCTGCGGAGCAGATCTTTTACGTTTGACTAGAGATGATCTAATTCAAATATGTGGCTTGGCTGATGGCATACGTCTTTTCAATGCTCTTCATGCAAAGTAAATACAGAAACAACCTTTTACCTGTTATACAGTAAGTCTTATCATGAAAGAGTATTTCATCAACGTTTTATTTTCTGTTCTCAGGAGTCTTACACCAGCTCTCACCCTTTATCTTACCCCTGCGCCTGACATGAAAGAGGGTGTTTTCAGAGCATTGTATTTGAATTCTCTTACTTGCGGCGAGCTCAGTATTCGTATTGCAGCCCATGTGGGCTTGTCTCCTGACCAAATAAATGATGTATTCATTGAAGGGCCAGGTGGCATCCGTGTCCTGGTCACAGACGATGTTGTTCGGCACATGAATAATGAGGCACTCTACATTGTTGAAGTATGCCAAGGTGGGTAATTTCTTCTTACCGATATCACCATCTGTGATCATAGTACCACTTCAAACTTTAAATATTTTTTTTAAATTTTCTTTTTAGATCATACTAGAGAACGCTTCTGTCTGCTTTTGAAACCAACCACAAAGTAAGAAGCCAGGTTTATCATCTCTGAGTGAATCCTTACTGAAGAAATCTAAGGAGATTATTCTGACTCATGTATAAGATGACGTAAGAACTTAAACCTCACTGAGGATTTACTTGCAGCTATTAGTCATAGCATTTACCCTTGCCTGAGTAATTTCTGGCTTGGTTGTTATAAGTCAAGTCGAATATAGCTGCTAGATGTGTCTGCACTGTTAAATGTTTAATTGAAATGAGCTATTTTTGAAGATCCGTCAGTTAACCGAAGGGTGGTGGTGAAGACTTTGAAGAGAGATCAGAGAGTTCATTCTTGTGGTGGAAAACAGAGACATTGATGGATAGAATGAAAGGTGGACTTAATGATTCTCCATGTAATTGTATAGGACATAAAAGATGATTGTGAAATATCGGAACACATTCAAACTTACACCTTCACTGAATTTAACTCCTCTTTGCTTGTTTCATTTTACATTCCCCTGAATAGAACATGTAATTTAATAAGCATGTGGTGGAAACTTCTTTTTTATGTATGCTTGTGTTTATTTCTTTCACAAGAGTGGTTTTTATAGTTGATATTTTATTAAGGAAAGGAAAGGAAAATGAATTGTTGGTTATTATAATGGCGGTGTTGTGAAAGTTTGTTATAAAATATTTTAATTATTTATTGTGCATTGTAGTAGCTTTTTTATCCCATGGATGTCAGAGGATCAGTTAAAGAGAGAAATTTCAGAGAGAAATATTCCAAGTTACACTTGATAGTTGAAGGCTGGGAATTCAAAAGAAAAAGCTATGCTAGTGATGTCTACTTATGTTATGTAAACATAGGCCTTTATAGTTCATAAATATCCCACTTTTCATAGTAAACAGTATTTTTCTTTTAGCCTGATGGTCTACGGTTTAATCCTTTGCCAACTTTATGCAAGCAGTGGTGTGAAGCACCATCTTTGTTAAAGCAGGTGACAGAAGCCCTCTGCATTTTTTTGTGCAGTAGTTCGTTTTTGTTTTGGGTTTTTGTTTTGACCATATTGAATTATTATTACTATTACTATTGACAGCACAAGTATAGAAAGTTACATTGATTGTTCAGTCAAATGTTCTTGAGTGCATTTGTTTTTAAGCTTTCAATCTTCTAGATAAGAAATCATTTATTGCTTTAAATTCCTCACATTGAGGGTGCATCAAACCTACAAGGTTTATTCTCACCATAATTATTATTCTATCATAGTGAAGACCAAATAGAACAGTCGTAAACAGAAGCTCAGTCAGTTGTCAGTTCCTGCTCTTTTGATTGATTTTTCGGTTAACACTGCTGCTACTGACTTCTAGATTCAAATGTCTAGCTTTGGGCCTAATTTCTGTTCAAAGTGTTGGTAGTTCAAGCTTATCTTACATAATGATATCTTGTTTGACTGCTATGTCACTTACAGTAACCCTACCAAACTGAAAATGTCTTGGAAAGCCTCATAGTCTCTGTTACTCAATTTTAGAATTTGTTGTGGAGTTGCTCAATTACAATTCTTGATAGTGTTTTTTCTGTTCTTTTTTTGCATTCTATTCGTGTAGTTTAACTTATGTTATGCAAGCAAGTTCTTGGTATTGTTTTTTGTGAATACTGTAGTACTGGTACTAGTGCTATCTTAGCAGCTGTAGTTGTCTTCTGCTATGAATAACATGATGACATGAGCAGCCAATAATTTCATATCTAGCTAGAATCGAACAGGACTGTCTACTTTTGTCTGAGAATTTCTCTTGAGATTATAATTGTTTACATGTACCTATAAAACAGATTGTATGGTTTCCTTAAGTTTTTGATACAATTGTGTCCCTTGATATAATCTTTTATAGTGGTAGTACTGTAGATCTGTATATTTCTCTTCAAGTCATGCTAAAAGTTTGTCAGGATTCATTTTAATGTTTCAACAGTTAGATTCCCTGCCAATTCTTAAACACCCAAGCTTTCTTGAATTTAGGCAAATTTTTATTTTAAATTGCAAGAAATCAACACATGAATTTTGGATACTGTGATAACTTGATTAGTGCAGAAGACTGAAGAAAATTTGAGTGAATTAGAGGAAACACTCTTATTTAACTTCTACTTTGAAAATTTCACGCATCACTTATTACATCTGACAATGTCAAAATGTGAGTTTTTTTTTAAATGCCTGTTTGTGGTTTGCATTACAGGGAGAAAAACCTAACTGCATTGAAATTTCTTGCATAAAATACTTGGATTTTGTGTATTTTGCCTGGGTGGACTTTCTGGACCTTTCCTTTTTTAAACACAGGAAGCACTAAAATTGTGTTTAGTAACATGGTTAAATAAATTGAATTTAACTTCATTAAATGGTTATTACAAAATGATTCTTCCTTTATTGTGTTTCAGCTTCTCAATATTCTCAAAGAAAATATGCAACATACTACATACTTACAAAAGTGCCGGATGTGAAGTGACCCAATGATCTTATCAAAAACACTGCAGCTTGCACAGTTTTCAAGTATCACCAGTAAGTGTGGAAATCAGATACAATTACAACAGTTCAACTTGAGAGGAAAAAACAAACATCCATATCACAGATAGTCAAAGTAGGCAGTAAAGTACAGCATATAGCAATAAATCTTAAAATAGTAAACACACATAGTGAAGTTCACATCATGGCCAGATAAAATTAAAAGTATCCGATCAATATAGATAGAATATTGCATACAAAAATAAATTTAACAAATCTTATTGTGAGCCTTGATGAGGTTCTAGCAAACAAGACCCTGATAACCGCAACCATCACTCGATTTCAACTTCATAGCTTGTCTGAAAACAGTGTAACATAAATGTACATTAAGGACATTGTTTTTGTTTCCAAAAACACAAATTTACTTAGATACATATTCAAAATCAAGAATTACTAAAAGTAAAAATAACGGCACTAATCAGTATCAGAATAATAGTCGAGAAATAAATATACTTCAGTTACAAAATCTGTATGCTTAGATAAGGTAAAACAATCATTGCTATGTTTTAAAATGTAAAAATAAAATCTTAATTTGCCTTGACGAAGAAACAGTCCTGCATTTCCGTTTCAGCTTGTTTTACCATTCAGAACACATGTCATTTCAGCAGATCTTTTTTTTATAAAAATTGAAACAACATGGTATTCACAACTTACAATAAATAAAAGAAATGCAAATTAGAGGTCACTGTGGCAAGTACAAAATTATAGCTAATCAAGCAAAGTAGTAGAAAGCTGAGAAACACAAAGAAGTCTGTATGGATGTGTTACAACCAACCTGATTTCTGCCAGTCTCAACCTTGACACATTCAGCAAAGAAAAATGTACCCCATCAAAGGCAACTAAGTCTAAAAATTCCATGATAACTAACTGAAATAAGAATACACATATTCATACATATCTATATCAATAGATATACACAAAGATATAAATTTCAATCATGTTTGATTATTAATTAGATAGATATTTAAAAGTGTGAATGTTGTCTGTAAAACTTAGCATTCAGAACACTCTGTTAATTTTCCAGAAGGTTCAACACGTAATTTGTGTGCTTTGGCCAAATGTTCATTCAGACTTGTCTTTTCACTGGCCATTCCCACTCGGCACACGGGACAAACAATGCCAGCAACATCACTATGAAATGTGATGGTATGCTGCTCCAGGTGATGCTTGGCAGCAAAACCCTGTCCACATTGATCACACTTAAAGGCACTTGAGCATTTCCTCGGTACAACAATATTGGGTTTTGGTTTAGGCTTAACTTTATCATGCTGTTTCACATGACTTTCGTAAGTTTCAGAGTCTTTAAGCACTTCATTGCAAACTGAACACACTAATGCTGGAGGCCCACCATTTTCAGCAACCTGCTGAATTACTGAATCTATTGATGATGTACTAGTTGTGGGAGTTGCACCTGTGCTGAACACAGTTTGAGCAGCCATTGGCGATTCCACATTTGCATGTAATGACGAAGCAGAAGGCTTCACATCTTCATTCAATTCCTCATCCTCATCCTCTGCATCTTCTTCTGTTGTTTCAGGTTCTTCTATCTTAACATCCACTTCGTCAACTTGTTGGACAGGTTGCATGGATTCCAAAAGTTGAACTGATTGCATTGGTTGTACAGGCTGCATTGTATGAAGTGGTTGCACGGCTTGAATTGATTGAACTGTTGGTGCTGGTTGCACAGCCTGCACAGCTTGAATTTGTTGAACTGGCTGCTGAGCTGCTTGCAATGCTTGAACAATACTTTGTTGGATTTGGCTTGCGTAGAGGTTATCTTGTACACCTTTGTCAGTTGGTACTTCAAAGGATAAAGGTAACATGCCTGACTGATCAGGCTTCATGCACTCAAGGTAAATAACTTGATCACCTTGCCCTGTAGATATTACACCTGTACCATCAGGTTGCATAAATAATTGCGGAATTATTATAACAGTGGTATTTGGGCCCAAACCGTGTCCGAGATCTTCAGTTCCAGTTGTTAGCGTTATTGGTATGACTGAATTATTGTTGAAGCCCTCAGGCAAAGTGATGATCTGCTTTGATGCATCATTGGCAACTTCCATACCTTGAGTACTTTCATCGTGCATTTCACTGATACCTTCTGGTATGGGAAGCTGAATAGTTGGGGTCGGTGGATGGTGGCTCCCTTTTATTTCCATAGGGGTGTCACGGAATTTGCAGAAGAGCCTGACATGATTGTTGAACTCTGATGTCCTCTGGAATCTCTGCCCACATTTGTAACACACCATTGGTTCCAAGAAATCAACCTTTGGAATGTGAACATTGACATGAGAGAAAAACTCTCCTCTTGCAGAGGTCATGAAATCACAAGCTTTACAACGCAAATGATTCTCCCCACTTTCCAGTAAGTGGTTATCAATAGCTTCTGGACTTTCAACTTTAACAGCACATGTTGGACACTTGTTGTTGTTAGCATGGTTGGCCATATGTCTATCAATCGATCGCCTCCATGACGTAATATTTTGAGCACAGATTGGGCAAGAAAACAATGGTGTCTTGTTATGCATACAAATTATGTGTTCCCTTAAATGACTGTCATACTTAAAAGTCTTTCTACACACAGCACATTCTTTATCTTTTGAACTTCCAGCAGCTTTGCATGTTGCAGCCACATGGGCATCATACAGATCTTTGTCTTGAAACATGTAAAGGCACTTTTGGCAAGTATACAACTCAACCTCAGAGTGAGAGTTCATGTGAAAGTGAAAAACGTCGAAATTCTCACAAACAAGACGACATTCAGCACACTGGTATTGCCCTTTAAAGAAAAACAATGATTAAGATGAAACCGTTTGCTTTGGAAAAGTTACTGCAAGTGAAACCTTAAAATACAAACTTACCCTTTGGAAGTATTTTCCGCCGCTTCTTAGGTCTACAAAAAATATAAGATAAAGTTTATTTAATAAATATCAATTATTGATGAGATTTGATTTAACTTGAGATTAAAACGTGTTAAATACCTTTCACATTCATCATCATCAAGAGTGGTTCCAGCAGTAAGTTCAGCTCCTGCCTGATTAATGAAATCAACAAGGTTGGTTGATACTGTTACAGGTTCTGTTGGATTTTCAACCAAAGAAATCTGAAACCAAAAGAAAATGAAAGATAAATACAAAACTAAGAGATGGAGCAAAATGAATTTAAAGAGCAAATTCAGTGGCCTGTTGCCAATCGTTTAAACTTACTCTGTTGTTCATGTTTGCCTCAGCACTGCTAGAATCCTCATGATGGTTGTCAGCAGGCTTAAACTCCACAATAGTATTATGACCGTCACCATGAGTGATAACAGGTTTATACTCAATAATATTATTTTGAGTATTATTCTGCTCAATTACAGTTCTATATTCAACAATATTATTGTGAGTATCATTCGGTTGAATTACTGGTTTGAACTCGATGCCATGATTGTTAGATTGGCTGGTCTCACTGGTCATACCCTCATCCAGAGCAGAGCTGTATTCACCCACGTCGCCAGTAATCACCTCCCCTTCACACTGTCCAGGACTAGAAGAACTCTCACCCTGCGTTTTAAAAGAAGCGGTAAAACTTCATTCGTGAACATATATTCAACAAGAGCAACAGGGCAATTCAATAACATCTTTGTTTTACTTACATTACTTCCTGTGTTATTATCCTGGACTTCAGGAAGCTGGCAAAAGCCAAGAATGAGTTCGTCGTTCCTAAAAATACATAGTAATATTGAAATTGTGTACAGCGTAAACAGTAAATAGGCTTGAAATTGAACAGCAACAAGACAGAGGTATATAGCACACAAGATAAGAAATCCACTCTAAAGTGAGACTGATTATTAAAACTTACTCAGACATTTTTCCTGTTTCTCGAAAATGCGTTAAAGACCGGGAAACAGCTCATTCCGAGAGGGGAAAGAGGCCGCGGTTGGGAAAATACGAAATAACCATGATGAACATAACCTGACTACAACAACGTCACCTCATTCAAATGAGAGTACACACGGGATAGGCATATGAAACAAATTCTTTAAGATAAAAAAATAATCATTCATTAGCTACAAATTTCCATTAACACGATAACGGCAGAAACAAACTATCACAAGAAATCCAAATATTTGGGTGAAGGATTGACAATGCAACAACATCGTGCTTGTACACAAGCTAGCACGCATCCGGGGCTACCAAATACCCCGAGACAAAATTTCATTGAACCTCAAGCTCAGAACGTTTATATTCAGCCTCAAAAGTTTCATTTCAGACATTTGGATAGTTCTTGAATAATTCAAATTAATTCCGAAATGACTTTGCGTCTTCATAAGAAACTATATAATATCTTCATACTTTTGAAAAGGTTGTTTGGTATTTGAAGGGCGAATTGACATTAGGCGGTTATTTGCAGAAACAGTGGCTGCCGTGTTGTGTTTTTAGAACCATGTGGTAGCTGTCTCGTGGTCCTGATTCCTCTGTTAAATTTCGTAAAATTGTGTAGTGTTTACCGTTAACTGGCTCATTTGGTTAGTTACAAGACGTCTTAAAACAACAGTGACCCTTTCACCATGAGGTAATTTTTACTAGTGCGACCCGTGTCAAGAAATATTCTTAAAAGCATTGGCTAACCTATCGGTAATATTTTGTCAATGTGTATTGCCCTCATATATTCTCATGTTCTATCTAACAGAATCTTTTTGCACCCTCTGTTTATTTGTAACTAATCCTCTATAATGTTTTCTGTTGCAGTATTGATACAGAACATTCTTCCAAGACCAAAAAAGATTTGTTGAAAAAGCGCAACAATTCTGGGACTTTTCATGTTGAGAACCCTAAGAAGATGAAGAAAGCAGCTAAAAACTCTAATTCAGAAGAGAGGGCGATGAAGAAGAAGAAGGCACCTTTGGTGCCTGATGATGTTGACAGTATGGAGATAAATGCTATGAAAAGTGTAAAGCAAAAACGTCATCTTGATGGTGAAACCAATGAAGGTAGTCCTCCTAAGAAGAAAAAGTTCACTCCTAAATCGCATGTTAAAGGCAAGCCTAAAAATGGGTTTGGCTCTCACTCTAAGAATCCAAAACAACCCAACGCAGGTAAAGTTCCTCTTCCAGTGGAGGTATCTGAATTATTAGAGTGTCACAGTTCAATTATTTGGTACTTATATAACTACAGCATCTGAGAAACCAGACTGGAATAAGTTCAAGGAGGATAAGAAGGCCCTGCGAGAGAAGCGCCGAGCAGCTCAAAAGGCTGCTGATAGTTACGATGTATCTCTTGAAGCAAAGAAAATACTAGAAAGCATCCGTAGTAGAAAATGCCCTGCTACAGAACAAGTTAAACAGCTTGAAAAGTTGCACACTCTTTTGAAAGGCAAATTACTTTCTGTAAGATCTCATTTTTTGTAGTAAATACTATTGGCTGTATTTGTCACTTTTACATTGTGCTTTAGATACTAATATATTTGTTTACTTACAGGTAGCTTATGCTCATGACATGTCTCGTGTAGTAGAGACAATGCTGAAACTGGCTCATAGCCATAAAAAAGCAGAAATTTTGAAAAGTATCATTCTAGAACTACTCCCTGAAGTTTTACTTATGAGTAAACGGAAATATGCGATACATGTGGTGCGAGCTATGATAGCACATTCACTTCCATCTGAAAGATCAGAAATTCTGAAAAAATTTTCAGGCTATGTCACTAAGATTTTAGGTCACAAGGTTAGTTTATTCAAAAGTATATTTACTGAATCATGTGTTTCTGTAACCTTTAAAGAATTTATTCAAACATAGTTTTTTTCTATCTAGATTGGCAATGTAGCTTTAGCAGATTTGCACTCAAAGATAAAGCCTGAAGAACAGAGTATACTTCAGAAAGAATTGTATGGTGGAGCTCATAAGTTAATAACAACAGAGCCTGTATTAGGGCTGGAAGTAATATTTAAAATATTGCCTAACATGAAAGAATCAACTCTTACCAATACAAAAGAAATTTTAATGGCTCTGTTTGAAAAGTATGTTCATACTACTAAACATCAGTTGTATTTTGAACTTTGGTATCTTTTTTAAAGTTAATTCATTTACTTATTCTTCCTTGCTTACATATTCTTATTTATTCTTAGAAATGTTGTTGAATCACCGATTGTCCATGCAGTGTTGCTAGATTATCTTGGTTTTGCCAAGCCAGAAGACCAATCAGAAATGCTTGAACTAGCTAAAAACCACATTAAAGCTCTGACTCAGTCCAAAGATGGTGTCCATATTGCTATGATGTGTGTGTGGTTGAGTGGTCCAAAGGTAAAGAATTTTCATTTACTGTATCTATCTGTCCATCATTTATTTACTTCATTTTGTGTAACTTCCTTTGTAATATTCAGGCCAGGAAAAAGATGGTGAAGGACTTGAAGGAGGGATTTGTTTCTCTGGCTTGTGGGGAGCACACTCATATGCTTCTGCTTGCAATATTTGATAGCCTTGATGATACTGTTTTGGTTCAAAAGGTAAACAACTGAATTTTTTTTTTTATGAATTTAAATTTTTGGCCGTTGTTTAACAGCTATTTTCTCTCAGGCAGTGTTGACAGAGCTTCTTGCTGGAGACTTGTCACCTCTCTTAAATAACACATACGGCCGTAAAGTCCTAATGTATCTATGTAGCAGGCGCGATCCCAAGTTGTTTACTGCACCTGTTGTTGCAACTTTAGCCCAAGGAGACAATAATCCGCACAGGTTAGCCTTTATTTTTCTCTCATTTTTTCAATGATTTCATAATCCATTGACTAAAGAAGAGTATTGAAATCAAAATGTACTAATCAAATCAAATTTCTTCAGTAAAAAAGATGCGAACATTAGGGCTGAAGAGCTTCAGAAATTTTCTGTTCCATTTCTCCTTGAACATATAGCCCAAAACACTTCTGTATGGATGGATAATAATGCTAATCTACCCCTTGCACTTGCTGCTATGAAAGCTGGAACTGGTATGGTGAAATACATTCATTACTAAGCTCAGTTATCTTTTACTTGTCTGCAGTGTGTTTCAAGGTGTGCTGTTGTTGTTTTCAGGAGACAAATTACAGCCAGCATTGAAGGCCATTGCCAAGCATACTGCGAATCCACCAAAGTCAAAGCAAATGGGCATAGACCTTAGAATAGCTGACAATACAGGATGTCACATGGTTTTGAAGAAATTAGCTCAGCATGACAAAGTATTTGCAGAAAGTGGCCTGGGTACGATGTTTCTATATAACAAAAGTTTCTTTTTTTCCTTACTTTTTTAATAGTTGGGGATCAGGAAATGATTAATTCTCTTTGTTTTAGCAACTTTTGGAGAAGCCCTAATTGCTCAGCTTACTGATCAGCACTACTTGGCATGGTTGAAAAATAATCATTGCTGCTTCCTTTTATTGGAGTAAGTTTTATTTTCTTCTCCTTTGGTTAGTAACAATAATTCTCATATGTCTAAAACTCAATCAATACTATCATTTCAGGATCCTGAAAAATGGAACAAGCGAAGTCACTGAGATGCTGCGGTCCAAAATTAAAAGCTTGTCATCAAGTGTTTGGAGTAATAAAAAGGAAGTAATTCCAGCTGGTGGTGTGAGAATTAAAGAACTTCTGTGATCATTTGTCAATATTAGTTTCGTGAAGAAATGTGAATGTTTCTTATATGGAATATCGGCAAATAATTTTCAATTTTCGACATTATTTTAAATTGTAGCACCCTGCTTATTCCTGACTGAAAATTCATATCTTGAATTTTGTTATTGTTCATAAGACAATAAATTTGATTAATGTTATCTGCCTGTAATCTTTATCACTTCTGGTTCTCAGCAGAACAGTTTTTTGTAGTCAACATTAAGGCTTTCTCTCCCGTTCTGTCTCTCTCTCTCTCTATCCCTCTCTCTCACTCGAGTTTCATATGGTTAAAGCTGCCGTGCATTTTTGAAAACAAGGTATTGTCATAAATAATTGACAAGATTATATTTTTAAATTATAATTTGTCATTTGGATTTATTTATCTCAGCATACTTTGGTTGGAGCCACGTCGTCTGTTTTCAGGTAGTATGATCCTTGTTCCCTATGGATAAAATATACAAAGTAAATAATGATAAATGAAGATCAATTGACTGAAAGGAGAATTCATACATACTTAAACTGAACTTCGTCTCCCATGCAGCCTTCACTTGGACCTTTGCAAGTCCCATCTCTAGCATCGCTATTGCTGTCACAGAAATCTGCTTGGTATCCTTTCCCTTTGGTAATAGACTCAGCAAAGTACTCGTATGATCGACCGTGGGCGCACACACCTTTAAATAAATCGTGTAAGTTATTAATTTCTCATTCTCTGTAATCTGTTCCATACGCATTATCAGACAGATTTTAGTTAAGAAGAGTCACGTCCTTATCACAAATCTCATGACACCTTGAAAGCCAGACGGACGTCTGATAAGACTTTAATGCGGGCTTGATCGTGGATAGCGAGTGGTAATCCTATAGGAAATTCCGATATCTCAAGAGAGCGTTGCGCTCTCCAATAGTTTACCGGTCAGGTCCAGGCCGCAGCCCGGCTGCTCCCTTCCTCCGTTGGGGTAGAAGTCGGAGGTGCCGAGGTCGGTAGGAAAGCCGAGCAACCCTGCGCATGAGTGGATCACGTCCACCAAGACACCGTCGTCCTTGCTCAGCCTGTCGGTATCCGGGGTTATAATGAAGAGCGGCCACGCCGGGTCGAGCCCTGCCAACAAAAAGGGGTGGGATATGGAAGACCTGAAGTTTGTCGCCCGCCCCTTCTCACCCCCGTGAGAAACGTGATACCGAGGCGATATCGGATTGGCGACGTAAAGGCGAAATATATCACGTTTCCGGCTAACTAAGGGCCGCCTCTCGCTGCCCCGCCGGAGCGCGGACCTGTGACTCGTGCCGGCCGCTGCCCCTCGGTCTCGTTCAGGCTCTTGGCGGAGATGCCGGCGACGTGCGCGCCGAGGCTGTGGCCGATGACGTGCAGCTTGTCCGCGGTGGCGAGCTCCTGCTCAATCAGGAACGACATCAGCTTGCCGACGAGCTTTCCGACGAAAGGCACGTTCAGGCGGGCCGTCACGTACAGGGGGTTGGGGCACAGGACACCCCAGTCCACGCCGACGACGTTGTAGTCCCCGTGGGTCATGTAGGCTGCGAAGTGTAAGAGACCGGGTTACGCGATAGCAAGCAAGGGGGGGGGGTGGTCAGAGCGTGTCGAGCAAGCGCCTCACCGTCCTTGATGAGCTGGATGATGGGTGACGAAATGCTGTTGGTGAAGCCGTGGATGACGATCTTTGTGGGCAGAGCCGGCTCCCATCCAGCCGCGAGGAAGTCTTCGTGGTCCAGAGTCACCTGCGTGCCCTCCACACTGCTGTAGTTGTTCCTATGTGGGCGGAAAAAAAATAACGACCCGTGACTCGCGTTCCTATCTTACGCGCGCTGTAATGGTGGGGCTTCCCTCCGCGTTTTGGCCTCACCCCTTCGTGAAGACATGGAACTTCACGTCGTCCTCGCTGGCGCCCAGCTGCTCGTCGCTGTAGTCGGCGTCGTCGCCGTTGAAGGGGTTGCCGTCCTTGAACATGCCCCTGACCGACGGCTGCTCTCCGACCACCACGCCCCAGACGGGCTTCCCGCTGTCGTCGGCGAACTGCAGGAAGTCCGGGTAGCCGCCCTCCTTCCACGCCTGGATCTCGTCCTGGATGCGGTGAGTTTTTGTTTTTGGCTCGTGACGGGGGCTGGGGGCGGCCGTCGCGGCCGCCACGAAGACGACGAATGCGACAAAAGCTCGCAACATTTCTGCACAGGTGAAACGGGTTTTGAAGAGAAGTGCCAAGGTGCCCTCACAAAGAACGCTTTCTGGCGCTAACCCATACGATGCGAGTAAACTCTGGACGGCCTTTTGGAAAAGAGTTGTCTCAATTAACCATCGTTCGAGTACATAAAGCTTAGGAAGTTTTGGTACGCCAATTGATAGCGCCTGCAACCTACAGGATAGGCTAGCCCGCTAAGCAGCTGTGAGCAGCAGGCGGCCCGCTCTCTGAGCGCACTCGCGCGTGGGGTATATGCGAATCGGGCTAACAATGCTAAATTACGTTCAAAGCGGGTGAAACCCGAGCATGTTTTGAAGAGGGGAAAAGTACAGAGACATTATTCTCGAAAAAAGATTTGCACTTTTTGAAGCCATTCGTTGACACATAAAATAATGACTTTTTCAAGTTTGCAAAGGCCATTTTAACAACCGCCATCTCTAGCGACGAATGCTAGACCGAAACACGGTGCTATATGCTTGCGCACAAGAATTTCAGCTGTCCATTAATCTCTTTACTAGGTTGCTACACGACGACTCGTTCTCGAGAAAAGAGTCGTTTGCCTGCTGCATTCGGGCCTCCTCCCCGCCCCGCGAGAGAATAACCTATCGGCTCGTGAGTCGGACGCCAGGCGACAAAAGCGCCGCTCGTTTACACCCTCTATCGCGTCACTTCGGGCGTCGGGGGACGGTCACTGCGGGCGCACCTAACATGGAAAGTCACATAGCGTCGCCATCCTAGCAGTCATTTAGGAAAACCGTTAGGAAAAGCTGAACAGTGGTCGTGCTCGAAAATGTTTCTAGACCGGTACCTGCGCTGGTGGAGCGTCGCGAATCACTGGCGTTCACATGCCGCGGGCTACTCGTTCGCCGTTTCTCGAGGCTATTTAAGCGGGGGTGCCTTGTTTTTAATTCCCCCGTTATCTGTAAGATCAAGCTTTGCGCGTCCTCCCGCCGCACTGGCTGTGACTGCTACTGGGCAACCGGGCATTTGTCTTGTCAGCGTGTTTCGGTAATCCCCCTGGATTAGACTGTAAAGGTGTTTTTACCCCTTTGGCGGACGAGTCGTGTGGCAATCTGGCTGCACCCACCTGCATATGTTCCAGCAGTAAAAAACGTCTTATCGAGCATCTAACGTCCACAGCACTTAAGTGAGTGACACGTGCAGTGCACGTTGACGGAAGGCGTGAATGGATGCAAGTCCGTAATAGGATACCTTTATGATGCATGCACCCTGCCAGACGGCCGGGGACTTCCCGGGGCTGAATTCGCGCAGAAATACTAAAATAAATCGAATAATACGCACATTTAAGCTTTCTGGTCCCCAAGTAAAGGCGATACTTCGACGTCTCGACGTCCAATCGACGTTCGTCAACCTTTCTCACTGATGGCTATAAGGCCATCCGACTAAAAATACAGTTGACGAGGTTCGCGTCTCAAATGAATGTAAGACCTAGAAATGACCTTCGGCATTGCGGTCTCTTCATGCGACGAAGCATGGACGAGCTCGGCGGGCAAATTTTCGCAATGGGATCCGCGCGGGGAGTTCGCGTCCCAGCGGTGCGATGCCAAGGTAAGTAAACCGGACTATGTGAATCCGCGAACCGTCCACCCTTTGACACCTCAAGAGACCTGAGTTTCGAGAAACACGTAAATTTCGGGTTCCCGGAAAAAAACTATCGAACATATGTGGTTATTTTTTGGTGCTTTTGTTTCGGCCAGACCATGCCCTTCGCAACGCCGCACAGCATGCCTCTATCACTCAATTGGTTTAGGCGGAAACGATAAAAATTCCTTCGAGCGGGGCGGTTATTTGGGCCAGACCATGCCCTTCCCAACGCTGTAGAGCGTAGGGCATGCCGCTATTACTCAAACTATGGTTCGAATGAATTCGTTCGAACGGGGGCGCGAAGACTGAATGAGAGGGCGACCGTTCGAACTAATTTTCCTCGTGTGGGGATCGTCCAGAAATTGCGACCGTTTTCTCGGATTTATTCGGCAAATTTTGGGAGCACCGGCGGCGCCTGCGAGACTCGGGATAGGCCACGCTGCGGTACACGCGTGCACAGCAGACAATGTGTTGCCTACCTACCAGGCGCTATGAGAGCTTGAACCAACTGAACTTCGCGCATACGAACCTGCCGAGCTCGGCCGATTCAAGCAGGCCGTATCGGCTCAATGTAGGTTCCGAAGCGCCCCCGCCTCGCCGAGACCGAGACACTCCCCTCCGCGCGGGGGATGGGGTGGTCGCGCCGGTCCACGCGTGTTGCCCCCGCGTGGGACCCTCTCCACGGTGGCGTGAGGCGCGTTGGAACCGTTCCTGGGACCGTCGCGGTTACGCCCCCCATCCTCGCCCCACCCTCCGCCGGTGGCCTCAAGTGTTCTCCTCCATGAGGACCTGCCGTAGGCAACCCAAAATACTGTCCGTTGTTGCTTGGGACTCCGGACACCCCGGAGGACGATCCCCGGAATCGCCATCTAAATCTGTTAAAACAGGTTGAGGGGGGAAAGGGGGGTGGTGGAGAACGTTTTCCGGAAGCTCTCTGCCCTCCTGTAGTACATCATCAAATGAATACAGAATTTTCTAAGAAAAATGTCATACAAGCAATCCAATACTCGCTGTTCAAGAGGCCGCGGGCGAACGGGCGGCAAACATTCTCTTGCCCAGGTGCCTCCTCTTGGGTAGGCCACCGATTTCACACAGCTGCTTGGCGGGTTGGCCTAACCAGACGCGTGGTGGGCGTCATCATCGGCGTTGCCTCGTAAAACTTTCATAGTTGCCATGCACGGTAAACTTTTATTTGTTTTGTTGGAAGGGTGAACATGGATTCTAGAAAATCCTCGAGAAAATCAGATTCATGCTTTCACTATTTTCAAATAACCCGCGCAGAAGGTTCTCTCGAAAAGAAACGAGAGTATCGTAGAGGGTTCGAGATCGAGAGTTGGGGTTCGATTAAGGCGCCAAAGTCCGGTACACAGTTTTTTAAAGCAGTTTTTCACGTCACAACACAGAGTTAACTTAAAGTGAAGTGGAAAACCTCTTGAGGATCATCGCCAACGGCCGCCGATCGCGCTGACCCACTCCCAGGGCGTTTAGAGATATTTGTATCACAGAACGCTGTCGATGTAAGTTTATTTTAGCTCCGATAGGCGTACAAAAAACATTGTTTAACACGGCAGGGAGACCGCCCTTGCCTATCCCAACACAGAAACCAAGCCATCAATATCGCTTTGGATATTTCATTTTGGTGGTCTAATGTCTTGTCGTTTCATTTTCCTTATTTACCTTTACAATATTCCTGTCGAAACAAATTTGAGTGTGTTTGGTATCAATTTGTTATGATGTTTAGAATTTATATTTAAGAAGACCCGGCCGTGTCTTTTAGGTTATGAATCGTTCACATCTTGAATGGTTTCATTTAGAGAAGTAATTAAATGTTACCGATACAGCCCCTTTCAGACATATGTATCAACGTTTAAAATTTGATCATCCAGATCCCACATAGCCTAAATGTTGGGCAGGTACCCTGTTAATGTAGGATTGAGAACATCTAATCTTATCTACTGTTGTGCAATGGTTGTTCCTACCCGCTGGTGTCTGATATAAGAAATTCCTTTTTGTTCCAGCACTTGTCAACATGTCAACCACATCACAAAAATTAAAGAACTTCACGTCTGAGCCTATGGGTGACAAGCCTGTCACCGATTTGGCTGGAGTTGGTGAAGTGCTTGGTAGAAGATTGGAGTCTCAGGGCTTTGATAAGGTATGATCAAATTAACAAGAAGTTACACTTGAAATATCCAGATACAGATTTGTCATCTATTTCAAAGAAGTACCAGTGTGTGGTAGTTGACTAAATCGGGGATGGATCGGAATATTAATCAAGTCAATTTCTTATTGCTTCCTTTATAGCAGCAATTACAATTTGAAACGTTATATTTACAGGCTTATGTTGTCCTTGGTCAGTTTCTGGTGTTGAAGAAGAACAGGGAGCTGTTTCAAGATTGGATGAAAGAAGCTTGTCAAGCCAATTCAAAGCAATCCTCTGATTGCTTTCAATGCCTATCTGAATGGTGTGAAGAATTTTTGTAAACTTTGTTTTTTACTTTCTTGAGAGGAATTTTTATAAATGTACACTATATGAACAAAACTATTTTTATCCTCTTGCTGCTTTGTATTCCTTCTCTTTCTGCTGTGATGTTGCTTTCTGGTTAAACATGAATGTTGTGAATTCGAACTTAATAGAGCCAACTATTTGCATTGCCGTTTATAAAGAAATTGATTCCATGTATATTTGCAATGTCATTAACTTGTCACATAGTTCTAAGATTTTATTTTGGTTTTTACATTGATAATAAAATTTTTATCAGTATCTCGTAGACTTGAAATTCTAAATTTCCTCTATGACGCATTTTACAATAATTTATATACTTGGTTTTCAACCCCTGTTATGGTGTAAGGGTTCACTATCACGATGAGAAATATTTATTTAAAACTTTGGATCATTTTAACTTTACTGATTGTAAGTACTATGAAATAGGATTGCTGGCAAGTAGCAAGTTAAGAGGTATGGCTTGAAGTGCAGTTGAGTCTTCATTGAACTGCCTGTCTCTCATATGGCAAAATCTCAAAGCATTACTGAAACAATTCCGCCTAATCGAATTCGTGTAAAATTTGCGAAAGAACTGCCACATAAGCCGAGGACGCATATTTGACCAATGGTAGTCCTCTGGAATTCCTCCTGGGGGTCGGACTTTAAACTAGACGTGATTGGCCGACCATCACCCTGACTAGTCAAGTTGAGCTCTACATATTCCCTATAAAAATAATGTTCTACAGGAAGTACTATCAAACACACAGTTCCGCGTCAATTAAATATTGGTTTTATTTTTTGTACCATTGAAACGAATAGGTGTCAGAAGATACGATATTCGAACTCAGACGCGTATCTTTGTTGTTCTCAGTCATACATTAGGCTCGAAAAGTTTCACAGTAATGGCGGACATGTCATGAAGGTTCCAGGCCAGAGCGGTGGTACAATGGAAGATCCTTCGTCACAGAACCATAACGGGCAATTAGGTCCTTCTGCTGGTGGATTTTGCGCAGAAAATAAACAAAGTGACGAAGGGAACCAAAGAATTCAGTATTCAATACCCGGCATACTTCATTTTATTCAACATGAATGGGCTCGCTTCGAGATGGAACGTTCGCAATGGGAGGTGGATCGAGCAGAATTACAGGTAAACAGTGCAGAAGTGTTCTTAATTTTCGATGCATTATTTGTGATTTTTATTTGTCTTGTTATATTCTGTACTTTTATACCATTTTTCCGAAGCCTGGAGGTATAACTTGTCCCACTTCCTAGCTGTTCAGTGTAGGCTGAAGTTATATTTATTCTTAATTTTCTAGTCTTATCTTAATGCATGCCGTAATTTTCATGCTGGTCGTTCAATTCTTGAATAATATCTCTACTGATTTCTACTCGACCCTTACCCTTCCATTCCGTTAACTTTTTTAGGCCACTTTTAACTTTTAACTAACCTATACCGACATCAACAAAGACGGTATTTCGTTCTCCGGTGCTTGTCAACCACACATCTTATTTTTAAGAGAATTTCTTGTTCTTGTAATGTTTGATATTCAGCCAATAATTTTTAGTTTCGACGAACTTTAGCACCTCTTATATTGCCATTTTTCTCAGTATATAGTTTTTTAAAATTAAATCAAGTTGATTCATGTATCTTGTTCACAAATGTCAAAAGTGTCCAACTATGACAATGAATATTTAATGTACTGAGTTCTTTAGTGGCTTTGGAATGGTCTAAGCTAGTTATTTTGAAAGTAAAAACTCTCAATTATACACACTCTTTGATCCAAACCATACTGCAGGTGGAAAGAAATATTGATATTGTCTTTCTCTCGTGTATGGATTCTGGCATAGGTTATATTTAAATGATTATATTTGCTATGGTATTACAGTTGTGATGAATCTGGAATGTAATCAGTTTTTCTTCTAGTCCTGTTATGATTATAAGCTAGAATTGGCCATGCTAATTAATAAAATCTGTTAATTTTCTCTGTCAGGCACGGATAGCATTTTTACAAGGGGAGCGTAAAGGACAAGAAAATCTAAAAAATGATCTGGTTCGTCGTATTAAGATGTTGGAATATGTTTTGAAACAAGAAAGGTGAGTCCAATTTCCATTTTTCAGTTTTGCATCTTTTGTCTTTCTCTTTAATTCATAGAAATCAATCTTTTTGCAGAGCAAAATTTCATAAATTGAAGTATGGCACAGAACTTCAACAAGGCGACATGAAACCTCCAGTATTTGATGATCCAGGTGTTGCAGAAATGCCTGTAGATGGAGAATTGCCTTACACTTCTGTGAGCAATATAAGTTGGCGCCAAGGGCGACAGCTTTTAAGGCAGTAAGTACTTCGTTTGTTTTCAATTTTGGTTATCTGTTTGCTTCATGTTTAGAACTAACCTTTCTTTCTGTCCTTAGATATTTACAGGAAATTGGCTACACTGACACAATAATTGATGTGCGGTCAAATAGAGTTCGTTCTCTGCTTGGGCTGAACAATAATGCTGAAGCTGAAGAAAACCTTAACAATTCTCAGCCAGTTTCTACAGCTCTTAATGGGAATGAACCAGCCAAAACTCCGAAGAAACCACAGGTAATGTTAAGAAATGTGTGCATAATACTGTATGTGATTTGAGTGTGTATTCACTTGTATTTTCCTTCTTTTTGTGTATTCAATTACAGCAACACAGCTCTTTGACAGAAGCAATGATGATGGACACTGAGGCAGCTGTTATGGCAAACTTTGAATTTTTAGCCCAAGCAGATGTAGATCTTGATGATGATGAAGACATGAGTGATGATCTTGATGATCAAGCTGATGATGATCAGGACGATGTAAAAACAGCTAGACGGAAAGGCAAGGTGAGTATTTCTGTTCATTTTATAATCTGTTGTAGATTTATTAAGTACTTTGCCTATCCATGGAATGTGACACTGAATTTATTGCTCAGGGCAATGATGGCCTTGGTGATGATGTGGATGCTGAAGCTCAGGTAGTTCTCAATGAACTAATCCTTCTCACTGAAACAGAGGATAATACTGATGGTCGTCATCAAAGTGACTCTAATGAATGGGGTAAGATGAATTTATTTGGTATCCGTTTCATCTTGGTTTGGTTTCTTTCAATAACCGAAATTTGCTTAAAATAAAATATTCTTTGTCATTCGCCCCTTCCAAAGGATCAGGTATGGGGTTTCAGGCAGGAACTAGCCCTCGAAGAGGGTTGAACTTCATTACTGATGAGGAAGCCTCAGACTCAACGCTTGGCCTAGGTGAATTAGCCCAACTAACTGTTAGCAATGAGGCAGATCAGTTTGGGGTAAGGATTAATTTTATTTGACTTATTGAAACTTAAAAGTGTATGCTGTTATTTTATTTGGAATCCCAAATACATTTCAGCCTTTATCATCAACGACCAAGGAGCTTCGGAAGACGTGGCATGCTAAATACACTCTTCGCAGTCATTTTGATAGTGTGCGTGCTTTAGCATTTCATCCTGTAGAGCCTGTGCTGATAACTGCAAGTGAAGACAATACTCTGAAATTGTGGAATCTTTCCAAAACCGTTCCATCAAAGAAGTGAGTTAAAGTGTCTTATGATTTATGTCTTTGAGGTGCAGTGTTAAGATCATATATTATATACTACTCTTCTTTGTCTTTGCTCTCATTAGATCAACCTCATTAGATGTTGAACCATTGTATACTTTCCGGTGCCATACTGGCCCTGTGTTATGTTTAGCTATGAGTACTACTGGTGATCAGTGCTACAGTGGTGGTGTGGATGGAAAAATCTTTTGCTGGAATCTCCCCAATCCGAATATTGACCCTTATGATAGTTTTGGTAAGAAGCTAATGTTGTTTTTAAAAATTATTGTGCAGCATTTAAAAATAAGATTTATTATGAGATGCAATAATACCATGTTGTTTTGCTTCTAGATCCTAGTGTTTTAGCTTGCACTTTGGACGACCATACAGATGCAATTTGGGGTCTTAGTATACATAAGCAAAGACCACAGCTTTTATCTTGTTCTGCTGATGGAACTGTCAAATTGTGGTCACCTCAAAGCAAGATACCATTGCTTTCAACTTATTCATCTGAGCAAGGTAAAAGATGGAAATACCGTAAATCTGTGTAGTAAATTTTATCCAGATTCACTACCTAGATTGAATGTGCAATGCCCCTTTGTTAATTTCCTATGTAAATTTACAGATGGAGTTCCTTCATCGGTTGACTTTGTTCGAGATGAACCAAATCGGATGGTCACAGCTTTCTCGTCATCACATTGTGTTATTTATGATTTAGAAACTGCCAAACCGGTTGTACGGTTGGAGTCCAGTCAGGTAAGAAAATAATAATGTAGTAGTCATTTTATAATTGTGTTTAGCCAATATCAATATGTTTTCATTATTCTCTTATGTATAGGAGGTGCTGAACAATGTTGTTGGAAGACAAATTAACCGAGTAGTAGCTCATCCCACACTGCCCCTGACAATAACTGCTCATGATGACCGACATATTCGATTTTATGATAACACATCAGGAAAGCTTGTTCATTCAATGGTTGCACATCTTGACTCAGTTACAAGCCTTGCAGTTGACCCTAATGGTCTCTACCTTCTTTCAGGAAGTACGTAGTATTATCTATTCTTAGTTGACTTAGAGCATGTGATTTTATTTTAATCTAATTTCTTTAATTGTCTGTCAGGTCATGATTGCAGTATCAGGCTATGGAATGTTGATAACAAGACTTGTGTACAAGAAATAACTGCTCACAGGAAGAAGTTCGATGAGAGCATTCTTGATGTAGCTTTCCATCCATCTCGACCATTCATAGCTAGTGCAGGCTCCGATGCTCTTGCTAAAGTGTTTACTTGAGCTGGTCTTAGCTTCTAGAATAAGAAGGTTCGCCTGCACAAAATGAATTGTTTGCTGTTTTGTTGTCAATGGATTAGGCTTTTAGTCTGCATCCATTTGCATCTAAAACTTTTGTTCAGATGCGCCAGGACCCCGCCACTCCAAAACTAGTCAAGCTGTGAGGGTGTTAAATAATGAGATGTACCTACATAAAAATTTTAAAAAAAGTTCGGAAAGCTGTTTAGATATTTTTAAAGTGAAATATGTAGTTATTTTCCTATTTAGATGTCCTTGGTGGGAAAACTTTTCAGAGACCACTGAGATGCCAAGGTACCTAGATTATAATGCCGTGAATTTCCAGGACTTTGTGCTCAATACCAAGAATTCATCAGGTTATTTGTCAGTATCTGCTCTCAGGTCTTTGTTTTGACTTGTGATGAACTAAGTTTAGTTACATTATTACAATTTTGGGGGTTATTTGTTGTACAATAAGGGTCATAAATTTGAAAAATAATTAAGTCTTCACCTGTTTATCATAGGTGTAGGTGTGACTTAACTTCAATCAAGAGAGATGATTTTTGTACTAATAAATCAATTTTTACCTATTTCATTTTTATTTTGCTTTCATGAACTATCTCAGTGTGAAAGTCCGAAGTCTGTTTATACCATTCAGTTATGTGCTCCTTGTAGAGAAAAATCAGATTAAATTGCATATTTTAATATCTTAAGAAATGTGTGCAAGAACTCTTTCTGGACTGGACCAAGTTCATTGGTTCATTTTCTGTGTTCCTCTTTTGCCATTGGAAGTCACTAAAACTAGGCCACTGACAATTGTACTTGGCTAGTCATTTTCTGATAATATCTTAGGTTGAGATTTTTTCTCCTGTCCCATTTTGGTTGGTACTTGGTGATGGGGTGCTATATTATGAGCATGATTCTGCAAAGTGGTGGCGGGGTTCAGCATCTTAGGATCCCACCTTTTTTCCTTTGCCCCTCTTACTCCCTGTGTTTCATCCACTCATTCATCATGCAAAAATTCTACCCGTTGTCCCCCCTATTCTTTTCCAGTTTTGTGTCTCCCTCATTTGTAGCCATCAATGTATTTTCTTTCCCTCTAAGGGATGGTCTTATACCTCTTGGACTTCAAAATTAGCCATGTTCTTGCAAGTTGACCATTTATCATGTACTTGTTGGCAACTCATAATTTATCTCTTAATTCTCACAGTGTTAGTCGTGAAGTTAGAGTTTTTAAGAATATGAGGTACCTTAAGTTAAAATTTCCTTGAGCTGTCAAATGATTGAACCAGCAGGTTTTAATGAGAATTTAGGCAATAACAAACTTAGAAAATTGAGGCATTTTCTATGTTCTTCATGATGTGTTGCATTTAATGACTGGGTTGTCTTTTTTGTTAAGACTTCTTGACACATAATCATACTTTGATGACTACCCAGAATCTTCTTGAAAATTTCCTGAGAGTTCTACTGATTTTATATCTAATTAATTTTCTAGAAACTGCCTTATTCAGACTTTCCATTTAGGAGAATTACCTCTGAACATTCTCCTTCTGTTTAGAGAAAGCTATTCTGTATTTCCTGATTACGACCTCTTTTAATCAGAACAGTTAATTCAATTTGAGGAATGGACACACTCTTGTACAGTAGTATGGTTTTCCAAAGTAGACTATAGAAAGTGAGCATGATCACACAAGTTCATGCATGACTTGGTGAACCATAAAAGAAATCCATACATGTTCGTGTGGGTTGCTGACTGATGCAAATCTACTTATTTAACCAAACCATGTAAAAATAATGTATCTTTTATGTAGCAGGCAGTCTGTTGACCATCACTATAATCATTATTAGAGAAGACAGCAAGTTGAAATGGCAGATTTTCTACCTAACCTTCCTTCTCTATTCTGACAATTGTGCCATACTTCCCCAGAATGTTATTTATGTTAATTATGCATGATGCACCTCTACAAATTCTAAAGAGAGGAAGAGAAACTGGTTATATTTTGCATTTTTAGTTGCTATTTGCTCTAATAGGGCATCTGGTTTTCTGAAATGTTAATCATTAGAAGGCACTTTTATTAAATATAGTTTGTAATTGTAACTTGCTGTCATATCACATATTAATGAATGTATCTGTGTATGTCATTAATGGGTGTCATCCTACAAACAACTTGATATGATGTAACATTTAAGGGAATAATAATGTTTTAGAGTTACCTTCAAGTTTTCATTTTGAACACACCCCCTTTTTACCATTCCACAGATACATGAATTATAATGTAGACATTGATTTGTGATGACTTTTCTGTCTATCTGTTGATGTCATGCAAATTCTTGAATCTTTAGTGGTTCATTAGGAAAGAGTGGAATGAAACTTTATTGGGATCTTTATAATAGATGATGGTTGCATGGAAGACTAGAACTCTGATCACAGGAGACTTTTTGGCCTTAAGTAATAATGAATCAATTTTTGGTCACATTGGATCTTCCAACTGTCTCGAGGAGGAATTCTGTTTTGTTAAATGTGATAAAAAGCTATTAAAGCAGAATTCAGAGTCAAGCCACAATCCTATAAACATCATATAGGTAGCTTGCTATTTGTCACAATTGAAAGCAAACACAAAAAACGTTAATTTATCAATCCTAGGCAAGAAAACCGTCTTCAGGAGTAATTAGACTGATTTTAACATTGTAAAAAAAAAAAAAAATCATATTTGATCACCACTGGCTTCATTTTTCTTGTGTACTTCTACTGCTTCATTATTGTAACATTCTTAGTTTGGCATTTTTGTTTTTATCTTGTGCACTATTATTTATTATGATGGTAGTGCTGTAATCTCGCCACCACCCAGTTTTATTTTCCCCCATGAATCGGCCCCCCTGTGCGACATTTTTTTTAGTACCTATTGCATGGAGGTCTGTGGTAGTTGTATGACAATGCTAAAATATT